TTAATTGTTTTGGGAAGAGAATATTAATCCTTTGAAGCTGTAGTTTAAATAATATTTAATAATTCAGTCCATGCTTCAAATAAAACATAACACTGCTTTGTTACAGAGGTAACTAACTGGTTGATGCTATTTAAGAAAATAATCCCCATTTATACTGAATCACACTAAAACCGTAAATACAAAATGTACTAGTTACATCCTGTCTGTAAAATGCATTGGAAATATTCCTTTAAAGCCTTAAATACTTTACTAGTAGGCTTTAAAGGAATATTTCCAATGCGTTTTACAGACAGGATGTTGTATTGCATGTTAATATCTCCATACTTTTCATTCAGAGTTTAACAGTCATTTCTTTGGTAAAACTTGATCTTTTCTTAACTATAACAGTGCTTTTGCTTTTATTAACTTCTTACAAGCTTTAGCTTTCGCAAAATCATACTTTACTCATGATACAATGCAATTACTGTGGAGATTTATATCTATAATTTTCTAGGTTGTTTCAGTCATTTGCTGGTAAGCAGTACCCATCACTGTTACAATTAAGAATTGCATATAAAATAGATATATTCCACTTCAAAAGTGTGTGAAATATTAAATGAAAACTTTAACTATCTTTACTCTGTGATTAGATGAATGCCGGTGTCAGAGATGAGGACTGAGGGTATTATAATGTGTTGCTTTGTCAGGGCTATTGCACAACTCATGGGGCAGTGATAGATGAGTATGGAGCAATGGTGGAATGATAATTAGCAGGAAGAAGCCAAAGAACTTGGAGGTGGGGGGCTGCTCCAATACCATTTTGTCCACATTTCTCACATGAAGTCACCTGGGATTGAACCTAGATATCCATAGTGGAGACATTTTTTTTCAAAGGACTTTTATTATATACCACTTCAGGACCTTATATTAAATGGCAGTGGTGTCGCTCCCACCTCATGTTACCAATTGTAGGAAATTAGAAAGTACAAAGTTGGAATAGCCTACATATCATATTTCATCAAAATCTTTTGAGCAGTTCTCAACTCAGAATTTGGACAGCTAGACATGATTAGCCCAAAATTCATCTACTTTACACACCTGCATGTAACACACTAAAAGGGATTCAAGAACCACTGGGCCGACTGTAATAATATTTCGTATTGAAGGCCCTTGCCCATCAACCCAACCTTGTTTATGATATTTATGAGAGCCTCAAACATTGAATTCATACGTTTAAAATCTAGAGGTAATATCAGAAAATTTGATAGAATTGTCTGCATGGATGTGCTAATTTTTTCCTTCCAACATTTCTTCCATAATCATAATTTTTGTTTGTTTGTCATCAATCTTTCGACCGGTTTGATGTGGTCCTCCATTTTCGCCGATCTCTTCATTTCCACATATTTTTTGCAGCCCACGTCCTCAAAAATCTGTGTCACATATTCCAATCTGTGTCTCCCCCAACAATTACCAAATTAACCAATCCTGGGTGCCTCAGAATGTGTCCCACCATCCAATCTCTTCTTCTTGTAAGATTTTTCCATAGACTTCTTCCTTCGCTTATCCTGTATAAGACCAGCTCATTTCGTACTTTATCATAATATGTATGCTTTATAATCAATAAATATAAAGATTGCACTGTTTCTTGGAATTATTTCTTCACAAAGTATGTGTTGGAGGCCTTTTCTATTAACTTTCTCTACTGTTTCATTCTTTTAGCTAAGCACAAGAAGACAATCACTAGATTAACGGCATGAAAGCAATTGTAAAGTGTGAATCAAGTGCATATTTTCCAATACATTTACAGCTGATTAAATATGAGACTTTTTATTGATATATTTGTGCCAAAGGAAAGAAATTATTGAGAGAAAAGTGAAAGGTTTTGAATGAACAATGTGAACATAACAGAAATCCAAAGAATTTAGGTTCAACCAACTTGGAAGCAAATTAATGGTATGTATAATTCAAATGACTTTGAAGTGTTTTCTAATAGCTAGTTCTAAAATTATTTAAAGAGTATGAAAAGAATGTATTTTAAGTATTTGTCATTTGAAACAAGTGATAATATATTGACCAATATGCAGTAGCTTATGTCAGCAAATGGCACACATTGAATATGTGCATGTAGAGCTGAAGTTAGAAATATGTATAACTATATCCCCAGTCCCTCATGTATCTTCATGGCATGGTGCTTAAGCACATGGACACTTAGAGAGAGAGCTTCTCACTGAGCCAGACCCAGTACCCAGTAATGAACATGTTATCCAATAGGAAAGCTGGGCCAAAAATAGTGAGCACATCAATGTGCACACCAGACCGATTGGCTAACATGCAGCCAGTAACACGAAACTGTAAAACTATTCGAATAAAACAGTCTGATGCAACTAGTTAATGTTACTCGATGGTCTTCGCTTAAGACGATGTGTTTCGGAAATTATATTTCCATCATCGGGTCAAAGTAATAAATATTCATAAGATCCTCTATGTTGCAATGTCAATTAGTTAAAACCATTAAAAGGGGCATTTCCCGTATAGATTGTTGATTTATTTTAATTTCTTTAACAGTTTAAAATCTTATTTTTTATATATTTTTTATCCTTTAATGGTTTTAACTAATTGACATTGCAACTTAGAGGATCTTATGAATATTTATTTCTTTGACCTGTTGATGGAAATATAATTTCCGAAACACGTCGTCTTAAGTGAATACCACCAAGTAACATTAACTAGTTGCATCAGACTGTTTTATTCGAATAGTTTTATATTTGTGAAGAGCAACAAGACACAACATTACTACTATAACACAAAACTGGGTCAGGTAGACACTGAGCACAGGACATTTTCTCCTACAACTACAGTACTCTGAGGATGAGGATGGTTCTCAAAATGTTGGTGGTTTCTTCATTAAGCCACCTTACATGGCTGCTAGCCTCAGAAAAATTTATTATACTTGATTGCTGTGGAAGCTACAGATCATACAAAATTTAGAGAGGTTTTAAAATTTATAATTACCACCCTTTTTTTAATATCTTCATGAATTTAACACAATGCTTCAAACATGGGTTAATATGCAGTTTACCTTCTACTTTATTACCTGGTGTTAACAGTAAAATTTAAACATGGTACTGGGTGAGTGATGTTTGTTGCCCTGAGAGAGACAGACCTATTAAAATATTCTAAATTTCTGTTTGTTTACTTTTCAGCAGTATATCATCATTCACAATACAGGAAGACACGCTGGAAACACCAAAGAAATAGAATACATTAATGGTAAACAGAATTGTAGCCGTAACTTGGACATGCAAGGGCTCAAGCTGTACCAAATACTCAACTGAAGGTGGGCTTAATATCCTCATCTGAATGGAGATGCAAGCATTATAGTCATTTCTCAATTTTTGCAGTATGTGTGTTCCTGAACAGTGCTGTATAAATAAAGGTATAATTTCCCATAAGGAGGTTCAATTGCCAGTTGATAATAATTATTGGCATTTATTAATTTAAAATATTTATATAATTGCATCTAATGTTATGTTTACATTAGTGTAAAGAGCTTGTTTAAATTCACTGGGAATGATTTCTTTGCATCTTCATCCCTTTTGTAGCTTTATCTCGCTTTCTTTTTCGATATGTCAAGCAAGCGAACATGAACACATGGAACTGTGTTTCATTTTATACAGATTTTAATAGACCTTGCCTCCCTCACTTGCCATCATCTGCTATGTTGTCACTTACTGACTGCAGAACCATGTTAAAGCTAGAACTAAAATGAGGAAGTACACATTTTAAGATGCATAAAAGGAGAAATGACTGCTGTGTGAATTTATATATTTGTATTACAAGGGATTCAGAGAAAAGGTTTAATGTGACTAAAATATATAGTGGATTCTTATTTAATGTTTCTTAAGTGGACATTGGATTCAAATAATAAAGGGGAGAAGAACCTCTTACATTGAGATAATGGAGTTGGGACTACAGAAATTAAATGAGTGAGGGATAACATAAATTAAAGAACATTAAATTAAATGCATATTCCATTTTATTTATGTCACATTTTGACTACATGAAATGCCTTACACTTCAGTTACTTAAACAGTAATTACATTACATAACAAAAACTGCAGCTTGAGCTACTGTTGTGTTATTCTTGCTAAAACAATGGGCGATTCCTTTTATTTACTGTATTGAATATCTCCGCTGTTTAGAGGAATACATATTAAGATTTCATGGGTTAAAAGGGTTTAGATGCAAATGTTTTCGTGCTTTTCATTCACTGATGTTTGGCTGCTTTAATCATGAATGGATATTCATAGCACAGCCTAATATTTAAATTTGTGGCCATCTCTACTTGTGCAGTATCTGAAACAGTAAAAATCACTTTATGAATATTTAAGAAACTAACAGGCTTCAACCAAATATGGAGACAAAACAGTGATGAAAGTTACATCTCATCATGATAGAGTGTAAGACAGTATAATCAAGATGTTATTACATATGCTTATCATAAATGCTTGCAAGATGTCCTAGCTTCCATTCTGTTTCTATCAATACCAAAATCATAACTATTATTTGAAGAAGCTTTACTTCTACTAATTATTTTAAAGGTTCTTAAAGAAGTGTGATTACCATGATAAAAAGAGACATTAAATAAGACCACCTTTGCTGATTGCTTAGTGATCCCAGGGATTAATATGTGCACCTGCAGGTGATCATTATTTAAAGTTCATCATAAAATAGCCCTGAAATAGAATTGATTTTTAATACTACAAAACTTGTTGACAATTTTTTAGGTATTAGTTATATACAGAATTTTAATACCTTTGTTTTGTAATACATATTTTGAAAGTGTTCTATTTGCATTGTTCATACAAATTATTTTTGTGATTTTCAGACTGTTTATTCATGTGTAATATGCTTTTCTTTTAAAAACTGAAACTGGCATTTTCGTATAATGGAATGTCACTCTTGATTCGTCATTTTATTATTATTAATTTCTTTGATGATTGATGGTGTTTAAATCAACAGCGCTGTGATATTAATTTATGTAGCTGTACATTTAAATCAAAACTATCTTAACATTATTATTAATCAATGGGGATTTTCTTACCATGCCTTGTTTACACTTGGAATGTCTTACCAGCTGCATTTAGTGTTCAGAAGTAAAGAAAAAGGCTATCTGAATTCTACATAAAGGCCATCATCAGAGCCGTAAGCACTTCTGAAATATTGGTCAGTGTCTATGAGACTACATGGTGCAACATCCGGAAGTCATCTTCATACTCATTGCCATGAGAACCTGAGAGATCACACCATTTACAAACTGTTTAAATTTTGGTAATTAATTAGATTACATTATCATCTTAACATACTGCATCATTCTCACTAGACAATATGTAAACAGAAGCTAACCATTTCCGAGTGTATTCAGTGCTTATTGTGCTAACATAGATTTTATATAAAAGCAATCATAATCAAAGCTATTAAGATGGAAGGGGAAGTTAACTGATTGGAACTTTATCAGTGCCCAGAACTGGACATATGGCACACAGTATCAAAGTTGATCTGGATTATTAACACTGTATGGACTTATAGTAGGTAGATACCATCTTCAGCTCTGAAGATGGAGACAGTACTTTCCCCAAAACTGGTATCTTCCTACAAGTCAACTTGGTGTTCAAAACAGATCACCATCATTGACATCTTCACTGTTGTGAGAACCTCAAATCTTACCTTACAACTAAATTACATTTTTTAAAGGAATTACCTTTTGATATTAGAGAAATTTGATGCATTCAGATTGTACAAGTTATTTGTTTAAAAGGAAATGGGAAATATTCTCTGGGCATTTCAAATGCACTGTTTCCCAAGACAACTGAAACATTTTGACCTCTCTCTTCTATTAGATCTCCATTCTTTAACTTATGGCATCCTGTTACAAAAGCAATCCAACTGAAATTCTATCCTTATCTTGTTCATATTAATCAAAATACACCTTGCATATGAGTATTACCCATACAGATTTCAGATATACAAATTAATCAATCAGAAACACCTTCCATCTGTTAATGTAATGTGTATGATATATTAGATCTGTTCCAGGGGTAGAATCCCCTAATAGATCTACAGTATTGAATGTTAAGACACTTGTATATGAAGGAATAGAGATCTGTTCCAGGGGTAGAAGCCCCTAATAGATCTACAGTATTGAATGTTAAGACACTTGTATATGAAGGAATAGAGATCTGTTCCAGGGGTAGGAGCCTCTAATAGATCTGACAAAAATACTTTGCAGGATTTGGATTTATTTAAGGATTAGGAATCCTTAATACATCTGGTTGTGATGTCATTGTTATATTTTATAAGTGCATTTATAAGATTCTCTATCCATCTTCATCAAGTACAAGGAAGGGTGTTTACAGATTAAATAGTCTCAATTCCATTCTCAAAGGAAAGTACAGTTTTAGTTAATGCATATATTTTTGCCAATGAAAACTATGTAGAATAACAACTAAATGATTTGTAAATAATTAACTGCCATTACTTCCCAAAATATGATGCACAATTTTCTTCCCTCCAGATATTTCCTGAAAATGCATATTCAAAGATATAAATATTTCATTTAAATATTTCCAAAACTGTTTAACACATTGATAATTGCTTACTGCATTTAGAAACTGTTAAACAGATTTTGTGTAACCTGTGTAAAGAAAAGTCTTCAATTTCAGTCTTGAAAATCAGAGTACACATTTTATTAGGGGACATAGTAAATGCAGACAAATGCTGCATGCCTTTAAAATGTAAGGGTGTCAATGCCAAGATTTAAACTTTTCAACATGACATACTTACTCTTCAACTTCCATATCTTTATTTAATTTGTTTCTAGAGGGTAACAGAAGTATTATTCTTTGGGGCAGGAAGTCATAAATTTTGAGTTGTTTTCTTATACATGAGTCAGTCTGCTAACATCAAGCTCTAGCAGTCCACAACTCTTACATCTATATCTGCTGGTTCTTCCTGCTTACTGTGCAATATATATTTTATATCCACAATTCTGTGCCATCATAGCCTTGACGTGTATGTTACTGATTTTATCTCCCATTAGAAGACCTCAAGGTTTAAGCTGTTTATATGAAAGGCCTGTTTCAGATCAAGTGCCAAATTGAAGAATAAATTCAATTCAAATACATTATTCCATACTTATACTTCAAAATCCAATAACACATTCACTGTACATGATAAAAATCCAGTAACATATTCATTGTGCATTATAAGTTATATGTATCATCTTTTTAAATAATAAATTCCAGTGTGTGTGTTTCTTATTTGTTTTGAAAATAAATCAGTAGGTCAATTAATTCAAAGAGCTGAAACATTAATCGGCACTGCAAAGTAAATTTATCACATATGCTGGTGAGGTAACTTCAAGTGAATGTCTTTCATTGCAACAGCTAACACCAAGAGGTGATTTTTAATTTGTAAATGATATTGACATAATTTTATAGCTTTCTGACTGTATACAGTATCTTTAAATGATAAGGCAGCATGTACTGATGTAATTATGAAGCAAATAAAATTATTGACGGGGAAAGATCGATTTTGACAAATATCCCAAGTAACTGTTTTCCTGCATAGGTTCTATTCTGTCAGTGTATACTTAATCTGTGAAATAAAATTACATTTAACAAAACCACAAGGAGAGAACCACCACTGAATGAAAGAATTTTATGTTGCACAAGATAGTTAATGAATTGCCCAGTGGACTACCATGGTCAATACACAAACATTTTACTAGAGCAGCTTCCTGTTACATGCCAGTTTTGTTATTTTTGTCTATCCAAAGCTACCGTGCATGTCCAAACTATTATCCTAAATAACTTCTGGGGGGGGATTCAAATTTAAAAAGCACTTGATAAAAAATGTATACTATATGGTATTGAAATATACAGCATAAAGAATTGACAAAAAAATCAACATATCAAACCAGATGTCAATCACAGTGGCCATGACATATAAGTGTGTGTGTGTCTGATCTTGGACTATACAAATGCTTGGGATCAAAGATTGAAGTTGAAACACTGATGTGTCCATGATTGTCTATTTTGTGTTGTCCTATGCAACAGGCCGATATCCTGTCCAATAAGTTCTCCTGATGTCTAAAGTTAATTCAATGAACTCTTCTCAATCACAAACAAAAATTAACGAGTTTTACAAATTTCACCAATGACATTTTATACAATAGTATAGGAGAGGCTAGAACTCAAAGAATTAATCAGTAATCCTAATTTTGTATTTTAAAATAATTAAGAACCCATGCAGAATAAAAATTCATAAATATTTATGTGGAAATTACATCACAGAAGAAAACGGATCTGAAGAAATGTTGTAAATACAGCTAGCTCAGGATAGGGTCCGACAGCAGCTAACTTAGACAACAGTTGTGGACCTCCGAGTTCTGTAACACCATGAAAATCTGTTGACCAGCTGTGTTAACTGCGACTGAAGAAAGATTCTGTACCATGGACTTCATACATTAAGAGACCAACTAAGTCAAACACTTGGAATGATATCGAAAAACAACCTGTTACAATAACTTACACATTCCAGGAGTATGAAGAAGAGGAGAGAGAGAGAGAGAGAGAAGGGACTCAGTAGGTAGTCTCATATACATTGTGGCAGAGAAGTTTAAGTCGGTGCCAACTTCAATGTTATTACCTGTTGAAGATGTGTTTCAAAGCTAAATTAACATTCTTGCTGTGAATCAAATGCTCAATCTAGATATAAAACAGGATCTTCACATACATCAATCCCTTTATTCAACATTATTTTCACTCAAAACATCATATACGTATGTACTGACCACACTGTCAGTTAACTCAATTCTCAATAATTTATAAACAAACACTGTACCATTTCCACACCAAAATATTCCTTTACAAGCATGAAACATTGCACTTTTCCACAGCCACACACAAAGGAATGCAATGGAAGCTAGTTAAAAAAAATGTGGCACACACATCTTAACACACGAACCCTCCATCCAATGTAATCAGCATGTCAAACATTGCTTCTTTTGGGTAACTTTTGCATGACCAAATTTTATAGGCATTGTGCATCTGGTATGCAATGAAAGACAAATATCTGAACTTCCAATTTCATTTCTTATGATTAAAAATTTATGGTATTGCAAATTAAATGTCAAACTATCCTTTTGCTGATAGAATTCTATATCTTGTAGCGAAGCATTATATTACATAACTACTTTTACCTTGTAAGACATTTGCAGCTGAATGGAACAAAAGAAATGTAGGTCAGAACTGTGATTCTTCTTAGCTACATGGTTTGAACATAAATTGATTTGGGAGGAATTTGTAATGTCAAGAGGTTTTGTGCTGCCAACACAAACTATTTATGACAATGGTGTGTTACAATCATGATCATTACATTTTTGGACTATGTCTATTGTCTGCGTTTTTAAAAAGAACACCATGTTTTGGAAGCTGGATCTGCTTCTGCCCTCAGGTTAAAAATGGGGAGAAAGGCACCTATTCAGTTGGGTCTGACAGAAACAGCTAATTTCAATCAATGGACCAGTGATTACAGTTAGCCTATTATGAAAATTGTCACACTACTGTAACCACTTAAGGGTAAGAGCAATTAATCTAACTTTCTACCATGGAACAAGCTTGTGGTCCTCAGTTTATTTTGCATTCAAAATATCAATGCTTGTATGACCATACAGACCACATACTTATCATTACGCATATAAAGTCAACTGGCAAGACTATGTTAATATTAAACATTAGAAGGAAGTTTAAGAATGGTAAATTATAAACAAAGCACTTCAAATGGAACAGAAAGAAGTAGGGAACAGACTTTGCACATGATCAACATTATATGATCAACCAACATGATGGGCAGCCATGTCCTATAAGTATTACCATTTGTGATGGTAATAATCCACTTCAGAGATATCTGTGTAATGTAGCCAGTGAAGTTAAAGAATAAAGCAGTCAAATCAGCATATTTAGCTTCCAAATTCCTAGCATGTCTGAGAAAGAATCTAACAATTATATTTATCTGCACAGTTTCATTATGAAGACAAATCAAGATAACACACTTCACCAACACAGACTTGCTCCCTTACTATTGCAGTAAAGGCTCTGGAATATCTGCCAATTAAGTTGTGAAGAAATAATTGAATTCAAAGGAGGAACAAAATTCTCTCACAAATCAAGTAATTATTTCACTGCAGTAATAAATCTCTCTTGAAGTATAATATACGAGGTGCGATCGGAAAGTTTCAAGACTGTGTCAATAGCGGGCGAACCAGATGTAGTATGAGCTTCTGCCTTTAGGGGGTGCGGCCTACATTCATAGTGAATCAGTGTGCCAGCCGGCATCATCGAATTAGCATTTGTTTCTTAGTTACAGGCGTTTTGGTAGTGCATTTCACCGACCCTCCTGCGATTTCGGAATGGCGTGCATCAAATTTTGCCAAAGCCTCGCCAAAACGGCTACGGAAACCTATGAAATGCTAAAGCAAGCATTTGGGGAGTCCGCAATGGGTCGTGCACAAACTTTTGTGTGGCATTCACGTTTTAAAAATGGCCGAACCCCTGTCGATGATGACGAGCGTTCTGGACGACCATCTTCGAGCACAACGCCCGAAAATGTTACCAAGATTCGGCAGGCCATTCACGAAGATCGACGTCGTACCATCAACGACTTGTGCGACATTGCTGGGATAGGCTATGGGACCTGTCAGCTGATTCTAAAGGAAGAACTCCACATGCGAAACCAAGGCTCCTGTCTGAGGACCAGAAGCAGAATCGACTTCTCGTTTGTCAGGAACTCAAAGATCTTGCAAGAACCGACCCCAACTTCCTTCCTAAGCTCCGTGTGACTTCTTCCTCTTCCCAAAGATGAAAATTCAGCTAAAGGGAAGGAGATTTGAGACGATAGAAGAGATTCAGACAGAATCGCAGATGGTGCTTGACAGGCTGACAAAGAAAGATTTCCAGGGATACTTCCAGGCTTGGCAGCGGCGCTGGGATCGTTGTGTTCACTGCCAGGGGAACTACTTCGAGGGTGATGGATGAATTTAATACCTGAGATAAGTGTACGGGTTTTTAGAGGCGCAGTCTATAAACTTTCCGATCGCACCTCGTATTAGTTAACATGTGAGAACCTCAAAGCAGACTTAATTCATAAACTGCAGTTTTCCGATTATCATCACATATAAATATAAAATGCTGTCAGAAGATAAAGCTGAAGTAAAGCAAGTCAAATATGGTGCCACTTAAACAGTGTGATTGTCAGCAAATATATTATTATATGGCTGCAAGATCTACTTCATCCTTTTCCTCAAGAGAGCTTCCTTGTTTAAATAACCAAAGGTCCATTAACCTACCTATAATTACACAATTTACATTCAGAATAAAAGTATAAATTTTTGGCAACAAAGATCTGATATCACGTTCATTCCACAACCTAAATTAATCAGTTGTAACCCAACATTTTTAAAAACAATTATTCAATGCTATATTACCTTATCTAAATTCAATGTATAGCACAAATTTTGTATAGTAAGGGTTAGGCACTGAAATTACTTTACCTGAACTGTTCAAATATCCTGCAAAATTTTTCATATGATACAAAATTCATGTCCAGCAAATTGCCTGGATGAAAAGCAAGCTTGTTTAACTGACATCTTGCTGAAGTTGATGATAGTAGTAGTTTGATGATACCTTCTGTTTCCTCCAAAATGCAATTCCAAAAACCACTGAAAATAAAAGTAACACAGCCAAAACACCACTCACCATCAGAGCTGGAAACAAAAAGTATGAACTGATCAGAATATAATTCATATTACAAGACACTTTGCTCTTGTTATTATTCATCCATGTGATTAATTTTTAATTAATTAATAATAATAAAGTAATATCTGAATATAATGATTCAACAAACTGGTATTTTCCATATATAATGAAACATCTATCCAAGATACTTTCAATTCTGAAAATAAGATAAAAAAGTCATCCTGCATTCATCAGATACTGGAGAAGAAAATGGGAGTACAATGGGACAGTACATGAAGAAAGCCTATAATTCAGTTATCCATAAGAATATCACATTTCAAAATGTAGGATTTAATAATACTGACCTATAATAGCAAGTGAATTGAAAGTAAAATCATCAGAGAAAATACCCATCTTGCATTCTTTCTCCCAACTGACAGGAATAACTGGCTTTAGAAGATCAGCAAACTTCTCAAGGGGACAGACGGATGCACAGCCAGGTATGGCAAGATTGTATGGGTCATGTGTCGTTGAGTTACGATACAGAACCTAAACCAATAATAATGCACGTACATTAGAACAAGGAAGTTTTCCTATATTGACTTACATCAAACAATTTACAATCACATTCCACTGCAATCATATTTAATCATGCTCATTTTTTTTTACAGGTTTCTGTTAAGGAAGCGGGGGGGTAAAACTAACACTTTTTAATGACATACACTAGTAAATGCATTTTTAAACAATAGATCAGAAAGATTATAATTTTTTTTCCTTCCACCCCTCCAAAAATTCATGCAACAGGTTCAAAATGTAATGCAATATGCATCACAAGTACTTCTAGGGAATACTGAGCTTTTTGAATTTTACACAACAAATATCTGCATGCCTTAAACACAGTATTGATTAATCTTATCACAATCAAGCTCTTTCATTCAGTGGCATAAATTTTAAAGAATCAAGTCCCACAAGGCCTGCTTCACATGGCCTGGCAGGTCACATTGAATTCACAGTGGCAAGGACTATCACATGCTCACTCTAAACCAATAAGCATAAGTCAGTCTTGACTGTAGCTAAAGAACATTACTCTTGTAGTGTGGACTTTTATTTGTAAACATGTTTCTTTAATATAGTTTGTGAAGTAGTGATTTTAATTGTGTATTATTATAGTCTGAATAAAACACTAATGTCAAATCCCAGGTTTCATAAACAAGCCACCAACGTATTTTTAAGGTGGTTCATTATGACACTGCCATACTTTAGTAACCGTCTCTCTTAGCACAATTACCAACCGAGTTATGTAAATGTTAGGGAAAAAACACAAAACATGACATACTAACTCCATAACAGAAGTATGGGTGAAACTACTGGAAAAACCATGGGAATAATCTTAATATTCCATCAGTAGGTCTGCAGGACTTCCTTATGCTGAAGTTCACCTGCCTTCCCACTAAAATGCAGAACCATTTCAATAATTCTCACCTTCACTTGATATTCAGCTTGATCATTTTTCCAAAGTTCAACTAGAACCAAAGACCTATATGGTGGACTTTGCTCATCAAATATACCCAGAGCCATAAGGAAATTGGCCACAGTGGTATCATGGGCTGAATACATAGTCATCTTGTAATCAGGCTTCATGGTACCATCTCGTTTCTCCATCATGTGTCTTATTACTTGTCTCACCAAAGGGCCTAGAAACAATAATATAATCAAATCCACTCAGAAAAACTTCATACAAAATAAGAACCTGAAATCTCAAAAACACATAGAAAACTTTAAAATGTCTATACTCTCTCAAATGAAGTGTGTGAACCATATGTAGTAGGCCACTGAAGTTATTTTCCTTATCAAGTTCAAGTTTGTGCATGCCACACATGCCAAAGACGAAGTTTCAAAATCTTTGTAACCTTAGGTACATTTGGGTAAAATAATCCACTCTGTAGAAAGTTTTCTCAGTGACTTCCATGTATGTATAACAATGTTTGAGAGATATCATCTGTTACATAACATCAAAGGTTGACCAGAACAGTTACTATCCTTCAAAGTTCCGGTGACATGGAAAAGGTTCACCAGACAAGATGCTATCCATCTGTCTGACACAAGAGAATCTGGAAATGTATCCCTAAACTCATTCTGACAAGCTGTGTAGGAAAGAGCGTTTGACAACAAACACTCGTTGCACTTCAACTGTTTCAAGACAACTAATGGACTAGCACAAGTAGGTCACAACATGGCATGACCTGTGTGGGTTATTGTACAGTAATAGTTATATTGTGCATTTATTAATCCAATCAAATTGTACTGAATTGCAACCATCAATAAATATTTTAACATGGATTGCATAACTTTTCAACCTCTCTGTATATTTCAGTATAAATGTTCAAGTGTTAAATGTCAAATATTTTAGCCACTGGCTTTGAAAATGTAGTCCAATTGTGTGGCAATTTCCACAAATCACTAATCTCAACCAGTTAGAAACCTGTTTTGGGGAATGCATTAAGAACATAATCATCTATCAATATTCATGATTTTGTGTTTTTTCAGGAAATAATTACTGTAGCCATTTTAACAGTTACTTCTGATAAACTGATCAGAGTACAGAGAGAAATTTCATATTGCCTACATAGTTAAGAGACAAAACAATGCCTACAATGAAGCCTACAGAAAATATTCGAAAACCTTTTCTTCAATATTTAAAAAAAAAATTGAAAGTCATGTTTCACAGAATATTAGTCTAAAATGTGGACATACTTTTGCATATTTTTGCGGCAACCTATTTCTATAAGATCCACTTTTATATTATCGCTTATATGAATTTATCCTTTCCCCAATATTACATACACATTAAAAATAAACAATAATGGGGAAGTAGAATTGCTGTTAGCTGGAATACTGTCTTAAAGCATTACTAAAAACAGTTAACTGAGAAGATAATTTAATTCAAATAGCAGTCTTCACAAAATTTTCATACCTAACTACTTTGATAATCTCAAACCAACTTACCAATCTTTAGCCTTTGAAGTAACCTAGTTTTAGCTGGTACTGTGAAACTGTATGATGATACAGACATCATCTTTTGTGGGTAAACACTCTTTGTCCAGTTGGGTAAGGTAAGGTTGTACAGCTCCTCTATGAAGAGTGTGTTGCAGAGAAACTCTAGACTCTCTGGATCATGTATATTGCTTCCTGATTGCTCACTTGTGTATCTGTATAAGTCAGCATGCTCTTCATTGTAGCGTCTCATTTCAGGAGATGTCTTCACCCGCAAAAGTTCAGCATCATAACTAGCACATGGGCGTTTACCAGCAAGAATCTGAAAGAGAGGAAGTGCATTTTTTGTTTTGCCCTATAATGTGTTACAAGTTAAAAAATACACATACAGCATAACAATAATGGTACATTTGCCATAATTCAAAATATGACCTTTGCAAAATGTGCCAATGACATAAGAGTTGTCACAGAAACACATGTAGATCTTTATGTGAAGTACCCATTATTGTTGTTCAATTTTAGACAAAACTGGAATGCATCAACAAATTTTGTTAAGATTCACTAATATAAAACTTTATGAAAATATATTCAGTTGTTAAGTCATCACATGTAAATGGAGACAGACATGATGAAGCTAATTAATTTTTGCATAATTCAGTTGCAAAGGCACTGGGAAAGTAAGCAAGAAATATGGACCAGAAATAACCCTTGAGAAGACGGTAATGTTAAAAATCTTGAGAAATAAAGGGAAAAAACACAGCAGTGAAAATAAATGGGAAACAGAGAGAAGTTGATAACTTTGTTTACATGGAAAGTGTGGTGCAGAAAAATTGCAAGATAAAAAATGAGAAATTAAAGAATTGGAAAAGCTTCAATACTATCATTTATCTAAGTTCTTTTGGTATAAAGATGTAGAAAGAAAATGTAAAATTACAATGTGCAATGTGCATTTTAAAAATACATTATATGGAGAAGATACATGATAATGTATTGAGAGAAAGCAAACTACAAGCAGTTGAGAGAAATTCCTAAGTAACAGTCAGTAAACCAGGAAAGGTAGAATTTGAGACATTATCAGGGGGAGAGCTCGGAGGAGATACAGAACCAAAATGACAAAAACAGACAAATGTTCTGGACATGTTGAAAGATTGGATGAGCATACAATACCTAAAAATCATTGGAAATGAAGATGAGTAGAAGACCCAGGTGAAGATCACACACACTATGGGCAGACCAAGTTAAGATAGATACAGAAAGAAGAGGATGATGGTAGGAGAGGTCAGATAAAATGCAAGAATGGGCAGAGAAAGCTGTTCAGACTTCTATGTAAAAGTCACCCTGAAGTACCATAATTTAAGAATGTAAGAAGGAAATGTTGCATATGTGCCTAGGAAGTGCTGTCAATAAACATACTGTTACATTGAACTATGGGTAATGGAAGTCACCATGTAAGCTTACAGAGGACACACAAAACTGAAATATCCATTAACCTCAAGTCTATCAACAAACAGACATAGTGAGCATAGTAGACAAGATGAACACTGAATTGCATCCTTCCATATTTATTTATTCAGGGGCATTACAGTGCATAGAGATTTTGGATTAAATGTAAATTTAGATAAATGTGTGGTTGAGAATATAAGCCAGAACATGTGTGAAATAAAAGTAAAGAGTAAGTACTTACAAAGTGGAGTAACAAGAAATGCAAGTGTTAAAAATGCAAGATAATTTTACCATTTGGTGAGGGACATAGTAAGGAAATAGGAAATGCCTAAGGTAAATATGCCTATTTAAAAGTACTGCATGCCCATAATAACATAAGAAGCAGAAATGTGGGACATAGATAAAGGCAGAGATTACTTTTTTAAGTAGAGAAGCAAAACCAAGAAATGATAAAAAATAGACAAACTAAAATCAAACAGCTTGGAAGGAAAACATACAAATAACAGAATGAGATTGTATGGACATACATTACGAATGAAAGGGGAATTCCAAAGAAGGTTTTCAACATGAAAGAAACAATTACCAAGAGGGAAGAGAGAGAACAAGATACAAACATGTTAGGAGAGAGATGATAAAATTAATACTATGGGGAGTAACTGAGGAAGAGAAGGTGTGGGAAGACATGTAGAGATTATGTTGTCAGGATGACCTGATGAGAGTGGAAATGTCTTAGGAGGAATTACTTGCTTTTAGAAAATCAACATGGTAAAAGTGCAATATTTAATTGCTTAGGACATATGGGACTCTAATGGCCCCACTGTTTTTAAGCTGATTCTGCAAACAGAGCAAGTTTATGAGGGTTTTCAGTTCGTATGCCTGCCCTGAAGGCAGTAAATAAAAACAGTTTCTAAAAACCATGAACTCTTCCTTAATGTGACAAGTACAGTACCTCATAGCAGGTATAAGCAGCAGGGGTTTACTGTCAATTACTTTTATTGATTTCCTCATGGCTTTTATAAACAAGAGTTGGATATTTATCACAGAATTTTTCTTTTAATGTCATTCCTTCCTACTTTATTGCATGCACAGCCATGTCTTCGTTTCATAAATCAAATCATGTTAAACAGTACAACACAAGAAACATTTACACAGGTTAAAAATAAGGCCATATTTCCTCCTAGAAAAACTGAATATAAACATTGATACCTCCTTTAAATTACAAATATTTATTTTCAATCAAATGACATTCAAAATTAAGATACACTGTTGAACACCCCAAGATCACCAGTCCTCGTTGGTTAAAGAACTGAAGACACTTCTGTAACAAATATATTCCTTCTTTGGTGCCACAACCCAAAAACTTTCTAGAATCTATTAGCAGGTAGCAGGATTCTCTGGTTGGGGAGGTCAGCCCATCATAAAAGTCTAACATTACAGGACAAACTGACAAACTCAAGCAGGATTTGGAACCACAATTGCAGTATGCAGAAGATTCAGACTACAGTGCCCAAGGCACACTTACAGAATTATATGTTGAAATTCTGAAACTACAGAAGAACTGAGCAGTAAGCAACAATTATGTTATTACCTCATCCATACTTTCTGGAACTGTGTGGACTGGTATTGGCTGCCAGTCTATATTTTTATTCCATTTCTGATCTCCCTCTGGAGGATACAACCCAGCTAGGTTACTAGCAGCACTCATAAGTGTCCTGTCAACATCTGTTGAACGAACATAGATATCTTCACGAGAATACATTTTAGGAAGGACATCACTGTATCTCTTGCGTAACCACTGACCCAATTCATAGTGCTGATTCTTGCCAATCTGTTACAATCCAAGAACAATTAAGCAGTTATTACAGCCAATTAAAAAAATAATTCCTTGACTGAACAATAAGTTTCAAATCCATATACAAACATAATTTTAACTAAACCAGTTCAATAGCAGATATAGTAAAATCTCATTTATGACTTAAAATATCTACACACTTCCATTTCAACCATATTTAACTTCCCAATACAATTCCTAAGAATATATTCCAAAAGCTATGGCAATATACAACCAGTAAACATAAAAAATTATGCATTAACTTAATTTCTACAGTTTATTAGTGTTTTCAGAACAACCATTTGATCTGTCATAAAGGAACAGAACTTGAACTGACCAATATTTTTCAGATCAGTCCTTATAATGGTGTCCACATGGCACAACCATAGGCTACAAATGGCAATGGTCTCCAGATATTAAATGTTGCTGTGAATATACTGAATGAATAAATGCTGGCAGGTGTCAAGGGATGGCCAATCAGCTTGAGGATTGGGTATGGGGCACTCACTAACTCACTTATGGAACCTGAAGGTTTATCACAGTGTTCACAAAAGCCCACCACTGGACTCCATCTTGAGCTAGCTGCATCCAGTTCATGCCATCAATTCCTAGCTCCCTTAACATTATCCTCCCACCCACACCTAGGTCTACCCAATGGTCTCCTCCCTTCAGGCCCCCCAACTAATACCTTGTTAACATCTCTCCTCTCCCCCCATGCTTGCAACATGTCCCACCCACCTCATCCTCTTAGATTTGTCACCCTGACAATATCAGGTGAGGAGTACAGACTGTGAAGATCATCATATGCAGTTTTCTCCATGATCTGTCTCCCTCCCTTTTAAGTCCAAATATCCTCAACGCCCTGTTCTCAAAGACCCTCAATCTATGTTCCTCCCTCAAAGTGACAGGCCAAGTTTTGCACCCACACAGCACAACTAAAATTACAATTTTGTATATTTTAATCTAATTTTTTTATGAGACAGGACAAAGGATTTTGGACTGAATAATAGCAAGCATTCCCTGAATTTAATCTGTTCTTCATTTTGTCATGAATGTCATTCTGACTTCTTAGTGTCATCCCCAAGAACTTGAATTTTGATTCATTTTTTAACAATTCATTAGCTATCCTTATATTCTGGTTCTGTTCTGAATTCTGATGCTGAGACATGATCATATACTTTGTCTTTTCTACATTTATTTCTAGACCAGCATACCTACTAACCCTTAAAAGTGTTTGTGTTCACTTTTATAGTATTTATATTATCACCCTACAGATTATCATCAGCATAGACCAAAGCTAATGTGTCCCATTCAGTTCCAAACTCCCCTGATTTTCTTGGACCTTCCTGATGGCATATTCTAAGGCAAAACTGAAAAGCAGTTGGGTATAGGGCAAATGACCTCAAACTGTGGACATGGTAATAAAAATCAGGGTTCCAAAAAAAGTATGAATTTCTTCACAAGGTGAACCAGTGTTAGCTTCTCAAGGAGGGCTCCGCTCCATAGAGTTAGTTATGAGAAGCCGTAACAACCCAAATAAATATTTCATTACTAGCAATATAATAAGGTGTTACATTTAAATATGATAGAAGTATATAATGAAGTAAAACATGGATAGGGTCCCATGAGCACTCATTTGCAGAATAATGTAGTCATCATGATGAAAAACTGACACAAACTTACATTTGTGAGCTGCCCCCAACCAACAGGCCAGTAGCTCAAGTTATTATATGGATCAGTTGGGTATGAGGAAACTGGAGTCCTGTCTCCATGGCGATATAACTGTAAAATTGAAATAGGAAATTTAAACCAGCATAGATATAATTCTACAGCATCTACAACATATAAAGCGACATATTACAACTACACGCTGCCAGCAGCTGTTTTTCATGCCACATATGCTCATATAATGAAAAAATGTTTAAGAAAGTATACATACCTTGAACACATTTAATAAATTATGTTTACTTTATGCATGTTTTCACAGGTAAAAGTAGTATTCATACATATCATTATGAATATATGAACAATAAATAAGTAGCTTGAAGTAGAACATGCTGGTATATAAGAAGCAGGCACTTGACTCCATGCATCTCCCATCGATGTAAACATCAAGATTATTCTTTCTGGGCATGTACAATCAGGAAAACAGTATCTACAAAAAATTTACAGGTAAATGGAAACTTTATAATATGGTAACCATTTGCACCTGCTGTTTAATTTCGAATTTATTCTAACCTAACAACTCTTGTTAACATAATGAATTTTGGTTTTACGATTACTGGCCCTATCACTAACTGCTGCAGCATAACATTGCTCGTCACTGCTTTGGTAATCCAGGCCTATCACAAATTAAAAAGACAAGATGCCCCTGTTTCTTTGTAGTTGTTCGTTCTATAAACTAGATAAATTACACTAAAATAAGAAATATTAAAAGTAATCTTTGCGTAACATTTAATACTCACGGCGCTTACGAAAACAAGAGACCCCAAACTGGAAGTGTCTTCGGACAAAGACGAAACGAAAAAGTACCATGAAGTCCTTTCCAACATAATCATTCCAAATGCAACGGAAAACAAAAAATTCGCCATTTTCACAGGGTACAAATACAAATTTAATACTGTCGTTATTCAGAACTCTACAGTTACACTAGCACAACATTTCAGTATCAATAAAAATAGTTTTCACTACACACAAACTCAACGTCATTCTGATGGAAACATATTTTGACTATAAACACTCTCTAACTGCACATGACGTGCTGCTCCTAGTGGCATAACGATAAGATACGTCAATGTTCATGTTTTGTTTGAACGAACATCATGCTGTCACAAACTGGATCTTGTTCTTTCCCGAATAATCTTCACAGGGGTAAATATCCCTCGACCCACCGACATGGTTCGTCTGATTCGCGTACATTTTTGCAACATTGTTACCCTGATCACAAACATGTTACCCGATATAAAACACGCTTTCTTTGTCAACATAATTTGACAGTTCTTTTGTGGGTCCACCCAACCTCCTATCCAATGGGTACCGGGGTTCTATCCCGGAAGTAACGCGCAGACGGGGCCTTACGCTTACCACACACACCCACATAATGCCGAGGTTAAGAATGAGTAGGAGCTACATTCCCCTCCCCCAAACGCCTAAATGGCATATAGTGGAACAGCTTTGCTTTACTTATCGATGTGAGCAACTTTCCAGCTTAGAATGAATACCTTAGGAAGTGTCTTTTGATGAGCACGTGACGGAAAGAGTACGAATCAGAACAGAAATTATACCTAACTATCTAACTACCTACCTACATGGCTTACCGAACCCGAAGGTTCATCACCGAATTAACCAAAGCCCTCCACCGGACCCTGTCCTGGGTCAACAAAATCCAATCTCCTTCAACTCCTATCTCCCATAGATCCCGCCTTACATTATCCTCCCATCTACGTCTAGGTCTCCCCAGCGGCCTCTTCCCTTCAGGTTTCCCAACCAATACCCGGTGCACACCTCTTGTCCCATCCATGCGCGCTACATGCCCCACCCATCTCATTCTTCTCGACTTAATCACCCTGACAATACTGGGGGAGAGTACAAATTTTTAAGTTCGTCATTATGCAGTTTTCTCCACTCCCCATCGTCTTCTCTCCTAGGCCCAAATATCATCAACACCCTATTCTCAAACACCTGCAATCTGTGTTCCTCCCTCAGAATGAGAGACCATGTTTCGCACCCATACAAAACAGAAATTATACCTAACTAATGAATCGTTTTATTGAAGAAATTTGTCTTCTAACAGGTCCACGTGAGTCTGTTTGCAATGATAAGCATACGCTAGTGAGATCATCATTAAACTGCCATAGGGTTCATTTATAACCTAGCGGCAGTCTAGTCGATAAGAAATGTGGCCCCAGGTCTGCAAATGTTGAAGACCCCTGCACTATCGCATCCAGTACGTCACACTGACCCGGATCCATAGTATAACCCACTGATGAGCAAAGGCTACAATTTGGTTTCAACATAGTACACAATACGAAAATCAACCGGTCACGCAAATTCACATACTAAATTTTTCACACAAAAATTAATTTCAGGCAGGATTTTTAAATGGGATGTTATTGACAGTTAATACTGAATTCTCAGGGTAGGCTGTGAAAGCATTCCATTACTGGAATATTGGTTGAAATCAGCATTTAAATAAATTTATCCTGTTTGGCCATTCCATTTGCAGTTCATTGAATTCACCCAGGCATCAGACGCCATGTGCTTATAAAATGTACCTTTTCCAATGCCATGCTGACAAATTTTTCACTCAAATCTGTGTATTAAAAATGCACATAAAATTATTTGTAAAGTGATAGTATGTCTGAAATTTGGTGCATAGATTTTTAAGGAATATTAATACCAAATATTTACTTAAAATCAGTACAATCAATGGGAAGCAATTCTACTTGCAGACGAACACAAGTCAACTAATAGGGGTTTAAGCATTGTTATGAAATATGATCAAAATGTTCACATCATGTATATAACCATATACAAATGAAACAGTGTGTCCAGAACAAAGAGTTTTGCAGTCGGTGTAACAGTTACTTCAATTTTAAGTGTGCACCGTTCTATGTTTTACCCGCTCGCCACTTTGAGGCACAGGATATGAGCGGGAACCTGAAAGCACACAAAACATACGAAAAAACTTTTATAAGAACAGCAACAGAACACAAATTGTAATTAAGGAATGAACGCAGAACACTTGCCTATACTGTTGTTATTCGTGATACGTCTTCTGTTGCACGACTTTTTAATGTGGGGCACAATTATTTATCCAAAACGCAGTATGTTTCAGTACCACTGAGGATGGAAGGCATAGGCCTATAATTGACAATAGGTCTATATTTTTCCATCGCAGTTATCCATTCTAACATGTAGACCACTTGAAAGTTATCTAGTACGAAGAATTAAAACACAAAAGGCACAACGAAACCAAACTGTCGTTTTCAATTCGTTACTGAACACACTTCGCAAAACAAAGAAGTCGACGGTTTCTTATGTTGAAAATGCAAAACCAAAATTAGTCGTGCTGGAACGACGCTCCACTCAATTCGAACACAAAACGAGAATACGAGGTGCGATCGGAAAGTAAATTTGTTTGTGCTTGTGGGAAAACAAGACTGAAAAGAAAAGCTTAGGCTAGAGCTTGAAGTGACAAAAGTAGACGGTTATGACACTCAGACTGACGTGCCTCAGCTACAGTTTTCCTCAAGGCTTGACGGTAACGAACAGTGCATGGAGTCTTTATTTCTCAGCTCGTTATCTCCAAGGTGACTTGCCGCTGATAACACGTGGACGGAAGAACAATAAGTTACAAGGAGTAGCTGAGGTGAAGGGAATTCCCTTCGACTTTAATTTCCACGACAGGCTCGCACAAGGAAACGGCCTGCCACCGACGCTCTCCAGGACTGTGATGTAATTAGTACCAGTTCCTATTATGCATGCGAGCACACGGAGTGCAAAACACATGATGCTGTAATTTAAAAAGTCCCCAAGAAAACCCTGAAACTGAAATGAGGAACACAGTTCGAGACGAAGAGACTGTTTATTCTTCTCGGTGTGGAATGATGTCAAAGTGGTAAGAATTACTGATGTGCCGGTAGTAACTATTGCTATGAGCAATAGTCCAGCTTAATGGAGGCTCGCGGGTCGATAAGTAAGAGTGAATGAAGCCGTTGAACTAGAAAGATTGTAAACTTCTGATGTATCGTTCAGTAACAGTAGTTAGTAGTAGAAGTGCGAGAAGCCATCAGTAGAAGCAGCAGTAGCTTCCACCCTGAGGAAGAAAGCCAGGATCCTCCGAATCGTCGGTAATTTTTAACACTGGCATGTTGCGATGCCCAGAAGAAACTAGATCGAATCTGGACCTCCGTGGAAAACTCATATTCAGGAACAGTCATTTACCTCGAGTACATTTGCCTACGTTGTATCACGCATGCAGGAATATTTGTACAGGAGGGAGAGTGGAACAAGGTCGAGTCGCTGGCCGTGATGATAATACATTCACATTGCTTGGAATTAGCTGACACGACGTGTGGAACGTGTAGTCTCTTGTCACTAGACGATAAAGGATAAAGGCCTCTTGAACGTGTAGTCTCTTGTCACACTAGACGATAAAGGATAAAGGCCTCTAGGTCTACGGACTGTGGTTATTGCTCATGAATCGTGTGTCGTCCATTGCAACCACGAACATTCTGAACAGCAATTATGGAAAAGGCACTAAAATGAAACATTTCATCATTCGAATGTAGGATTTGAGGTTTTCACGGCGGTGAATTTGAAGATGGTTGTCTCCTGGGTTGTTGCGCCGTGTAGTCTGGTAGAAGTTTACCGACGTTTCAGATCGCACCTCGTACAAGCGCTGTCCAATCAATGACGTCCTTTCTTCCCTTAGAACGTCTGCTGTTTATTCTGTTGTAAACGCACTATGATTTATCGTGTCGAAACGACGCTACATTGAATTCGAAAATATAACATTGAAGACGCGATCTAATCAATGACGTTCCTCTTACTTACCTTCATGTTTACGGAAAGAATTCGGTGTGTTAACATGCCTAGTGTGAACACACCCTGTCGGCTAGCGACAACGAACCATCCAACTCCGACAGGTAAATCAATTCGTCCAAATAAAAATGTACGATATTATTTACAAATTATTTACGCTAGTCTGTGTATGAAAAAGCAACCCAACGTTGTTAATGGCGCGACAAACATAAGATTGGAATGCTGCAAATCCGTGTTTTTCGACCTGCATTTTATTATTCACAAGCATAGAGTTTCTTCGGAGTAAAAAGTTAAGATGTTTTTCTCTAATGTTGAATCTTGAGCTCATTTTATAACCTGGATTCATAGCATAGCAAGAGACATACATAACATTTCACTTTATAAAATCCTGACATCCTTACAGATTCAGACAGATCTTTCAACACTGAAGCGAAAGACCAATTAAGTTAGGTTTTGTTCTGCTGAATCTTTGTCCTAGCAATGTGAGTTATTCAAAGGTAGAGTCTGCAAAATTTCTGTTTTACTCTCTCCTTCTCGCATTGATTTCATTGGTCGTGCCGACTGAACCTGTCAAGTTGATCACCCTGTGATAAAAAAAACATACAGAAATACTTAAAACTAAACCGTCCTAAATAAACGTCCAATTTGCCATGGACACAAAAGCTACGTTCACATGACCTACACCAAACCCTAACATGTGTGCCTACCAGGGAGGGGAGGAAGGACAAATTCAACTTACAAATTAATAAAAACAATAATAAAATGCACAGGGTTGCCCATACGTCATGACGGCTACTGCATCAAATACAGAGTTGGCTGGCACGGTGCTATGTTATTATCATGACCAGCCTGGGGCCGGACTGACTTTATAAGACCGTGCCGATGCTATGGCGTACCTGATTTGCTGCAAGTACCCAGCCCATCCTTCTGCGGATGGGTCCTCAACCGCTAAGAGTTCGACCGACACTGTTTGGTTATAACGTTACGTTTTGCGCGTAGCTCCTCATGCCATGGCCCCTAGATCGAAGTACTCTGGACATCGAAGTCTGCAACTGCTGTTTGCACTGGAGCGTTGCAGCCGTTGACAACACAACACCGTACCACAAATACTAATAGAGACGTTGCAATAGCATTCGCACACAAAAATCACAGATGTTGCAACAGTTTATCCGTAAACTTGGCTTCTCTTGAAATCCAGATCCACAAACACCACAAAATCTATACGATCACTACATTGTTTTGATATCCGTTATATAACAATTTTAACATTGCATAAATACGGCCTTTAATTTCAGTCTGAATATAAACACACCAAGAGATAAATGCTACGTTTTATGAAGTCCTTCGTACAGAGGTCTTTGCTGCCTCCATCATCATGGCGATGAGTGTTCTCGCCTCAAAGCCAGTAACATTTTATAACAGCAAAATGCCGCCATAATGCACCAAAGCATAAATAGTTTCACATTGTTAATCTTGTCTTTTCTTTAATGATGGTTGCACAAGTCCGCCGTAAAACAGTCTGTATTCACTCCCGTAAACATACGACATGAAACTCGCGGATCACACATTGACAGCCTGCCTGCCACTGGTATAATTTGCCTGTTAATTCTGCAATTACTCATGTTTGATGAGTGGTTATACTTTAATCTTGTAACACAGTCATCTACTTTGAGAATTTTTTTATTTTATTTAGTGTTCTGTCTGACGACAGGTCCATCTGAACAGGATCCTTCCATCCTCTTCTCGGACTGGGACCTGTTCATATACGTTCTTGGCAGATGATCC